GAGAAGGGAGATCAGGTCAGATCTTTCATAGATCTTATCTGACTCCTCATTTTCTCTGACTTTCCAAATTCTTAGGACTTAGTATTGTAATTGTTAGTATACTTTCATGTAATTGTACTTGAAGATTGAAGACTCAACTCTCATGACAATGGAGTTTGATCTTTCTTCTTCTTCTCTTGTTATTATTTGTATTATGTCTGAGCAGAGTCTTTTGTAGTCTGATTCAATGGAACTCAAGTTTGAATTTATGAAAGGTTAATTAGATGTTTTGTTTATCTATTATGTGATTGTATGAAGTTGTCTTGATTAATTCTTCATGTTGAGGAATAGTGTAGAACAGACATGTTTACATTGTTTCTCTATTTTTGACAACTTCATCATCAGTGTTCTAGTAGTCAAGGGATTGATACTAGGATTCTGATGTGTTCTTAAGACCTTAGTAATTAATGCATGTATTAAGAAAGGAATCTCCAAGGGATTGGGGTTTCTGATTAATGTGTCTATCAGGGTAGTAAGGGATTACATCTTGAGAAGATAAGAAAAAGGTTGATCAACATCACATAGTAGATAATTCATAATGGAAATTGGTTCATCTATAAATTCATGTTTGAGGGAAAATGACATCTGACTACTTGTTTAAATTATAAGTACATTTTATTTGTTTTATCAAATCTTAATTTTATGCAATTCAACTTTATTTCTGGTGACAAGAAATCAAGCAATCAATGATCTTTTGGTTGATTCAACTCAAATACATATGGTCAGTCAGTGCTTGACACAAATCCTCGTGGGAACGATTTTTACTCATCATTTTATTACTTGTACGACTAGTACACTTGCTAGATTCGCAACAAACTTCACCCGTAACAATTCTCCCTCCTTGAACAAACTTCACAATAGGCCTCCTCCTAGCTTGCAAGATCAATTGATCAAATCTTATTCTTACTTGTGATTCAAAATAAGCTCACTTATGCATTGCTGGTGATACAGAGATTGCTGGATGCTCCCTGCTGGTGTGTCGTATAAGAAGCATTATGCAGAAGATGCAATCTTTGAAGTTGGATCTTTGGCTCAGAGAGAATATTTTTTGTGCTGATAAGCTGGCTAAATTTGGGCTAGCTGCAACTCCTCAGAAGTTTATGTCTTTTGATGATCCCCCATTAGACATTATTATTCATGTTTGGAATGCTTTCAGGTCTAGATTCCTGGTAGACTCTGTTGCTGTAGATTTGCAACAACTTTCTTTGTAATTTTGTTTTTTTTTTGGCCTTCCTTGTAGCCGCCCTCCAGATTTACAAAAAAGAAAAAAGCTTTCTACAACACAACATCCAATACTAGGAAGTAACAGGAAGAATACAAGAGTAAAGTTATTAAAATTTCCCAGTAAAAGATATGCACCAAGCCCAAAAGGCAAGAAGCACAAAAACAGAATCCCCATTTACAAGGCAGCAAATGCATCGTCCACCCATTTCATTTCCTGAACAGATGCGTCTCGTGTGTTGTTGGAGAAAGGCCAGCATAGAATGGCTCCCACAGGGGTTCTCGCCTTGTTCATCCGCTTTCGATGACGAATTCGCCGCAGAACCGCTTCTTTATCCATATTCCGATCAATCGATTTTATGCACAAGTGGCTCGTCACAGATACTGATGAGTCTTCCTTCTCGAACTCTCCTTCACCTTCCTCTGTGCCCTTCCTTTCCTTACTACTACCAACTTCAACTTGCTTGTCGTTTGACACAAGACTTTGCCGTTTCGCCGCCTTGGAGTTCGAAGACATGATTCTTGCTTGTTTCTTTGTTTATCAAGTAGCTTCAAAAGTGCTTATCACTTATCAGCATGATCTTCGAGGTGCTGTAACACCGACAAATTCAAGAATCAGCAACTTCGTATTGGTTTTCTCACTGTACGTAGTTGACACATCACTTCTCCGCCACTTCATAAGAATCCGATAACTTGGCACAATACGTAACTTGAATTTATCGGTTGAGAATCTTTACGATCCAATAACTGCCTTAGATGCTTATACATAACATGAATTTATCGGTTGAGAATCTTTATAATTTCTTTTATAATATTATTTTAAAGGAAGCTTGTTTTTTTAAAAATTAAAGTGAATAAGTAACAATGAATGTATGTTTTTAATTAAATTAAATTATAATCTTAATTTACAAAAATTGAAATGTAGATATATTATTAGTTATTCCATTTGAGAAAACTATATTACGGTGTTTTTAATTTTTTTTTCTCATAATTTTTAATTTATTCACTTGTCTTATGTTTCAAAAATTTATATCAATTGAATATTTTTGTATATAACTTTATCCATATAAGTCTTGTGAAAAACAAACCCATACACGGAAACAAATTTAGGAACCAAATTATTAAATTAATTTTATAAAATTTTAATTATTCATTGTTATTGTGTTCAAAAAAAACTTTTTGACGTGGATCATATAAATATATGTCGTATTAAAGCATAATTTTTACATATAATAACATTAATTAAATTAACTTATTTTATTTATTTGAATTTTGGTTCTTATAAATTTTTAGGATCTTTATATTTTCATTTATTTTTATTTTTATCTCTTTGAGACTAATATCTTAATAAGTAAAATTACAGAGACTAATCATTTATGAAAAATAAAAAATAAAATTTTTAATTAATAAGTAAAATATCATGGACAAATTTATTTATTTTTTAAAAATTCTGTAATTTGATTAAGAGAAATTATAGTGGCCAAAATTTAAATTAATAAAGATATAGAAGCCGACAATTCCCAGTAAGTGAAAATATAAATAAAATTAATAAAATAAATAAATTATAAGGAACAAAATCTAAATAGTTGAAAATTCTAAGAACAAAAACTTATTTAAACCTAAATTGGTCAACATCAGTCATGAACTGAATAGCTATTTTGATAATAAAAAACAGGAAAACATACTCTTATGTTGTATGATAGAATTTTTCTTCCCTATATATACATCAATTTTCGTGTTACTTTTTTTTTTCTATAATGGGTGGGTCTCACACAGTGGCGGACACACTTGCGGGCAAATGCCCGCAAGTGCGGTCATAAAAATTTTCATTTCAGCTTTTTTTCTTTCTTTCTTGATTATAAGTCTTTATTTGTCTCTTGGTTCAATATATATATATTAGAAGTAAATATCATTTTAAGTTCATAACAATAAACATAGTTCCCATTTTAGTTCCTTACAAAAAAATATTAGTCTCGACGTCCCTAGAAAATTTAAAGTGGATCAATTTAGTTAAAATCGAGGTCCCTCATAAATTCAAAAAAGACCTACATTAGTCCCTCAAAAAGACCAAAATGGGTTCACTTTGAATTTCATAGAAACCAGGTGACTAATTTTTTTTTATAATGGACTAAAGTGGGGACCGAATTTTTTGTTACGGACCAAAAATGATATTTATTCTTATATTAGTTAGCAACGTACTGAGATGATTAAAACAACGTAGCAACGCAAATTGATCACAGAGAAAACTTATTCTTCATCCACTCATTCTCATGCTCTCTTCATCCTTTGTTTCCTTTTTCATTTTTATAAAAAGAGAGGATTGATTGCAGGTCTGACATTCTCAAATAAGTTAATATCTAGAGACGAGGCATTCACTATGATTTTGCTTGTCTTCTGTACAGGTAGTGTTGACTTTTTTATTCATCACTATAAAATAGAATGCTGATATATGAATATACTGGAATATATTCTCATATTTATTTTGGAGGATTGGTAAAATTTAGGGGGGAAATAATTGGTTAAACTATTGCCTGCAGCTTGTTATGGAAGCAACTAAATTATGAGCGGGTTCAAGCATTGATTTAAATTTTCTTTACAAATTTTTTTTTCGGGGGCACCACCACTAAATGTGGAGACATAAACAAATTTTTCTGGGTCCGCCACTGGTCCCACACATAATTATCTCTATTGCATGAGGAAGTTCTCTCCTATTGCATTAGATTAATAAAGCCCTAAAAAATAAAAACAATTTGAGAACAACTTGATGTATTTCCGCCTTACCTCTCAAGTTTATGTTTTTCGGAATGTTTTCTCTATACTGTATATGGAGATATTTTAAGAAAGTGTAATTGATCCTTTTTTTGTTTTTGGTAGATATGTTATTTCTTTATATATGTAGAGAAAAATTATAATTTCTTTCACTTAGTTAAAAAAAAAATTCCCTTATAAATTAAGAGTTCTACAATAATTATTAATTAAGTATAAATTTCTAATTTTCCTCGACATCATTTTAGGAATGTGGTACTATTTCCGTAACTTTGATATCTACCACAAACTTCCACCCCTAAACCTCGTGCACTTGTTTTCGTTAATTAAAATCTCAATTTATATTACGATTTTACTTTGATAAATGAGCCCGACAACTAAGGCCATCATCAGCATGCGAAATATGAGCCATACCCAACATCACTTTCTCTCACAGTGTGTTAAGTTTGTCAATATGGTATCATACTCACCATGAAAAACTCTTGGGCGTTTGGTACGCGGAATTTTGAGGAATTCTTGGGAAATTGAATTTTTCTAAATTTTAAATTTTCAGATATTATCGTAAACTGAATGCAAAAATCATATTTTTGAAAATTGAGATTCCCGGACAAATAAAAATTTCTCCTGTACCAAATGCCCCCTAGTCTGCATTGAGTTCCCATGGGACTCGTAAACTCTTCACTCGTTTTCCTTCTCTGCTTTTCCGCAGAAAATAATTTCGATTATTATTCAAACATATATGATATAGACTATAGTATTGAATTTAGACATGGGAGATACATTTAATCCCAATCCTTAATCTTCCATGCGAAAGATTTTATTCGTTGACTACTTGACACCTCCTAGGTTTCAACATATTTCTATAACTATAACTAACAATATGATCACACCAAATCATAAAACATGGGGGAAAAACACAGATTGATAAGAATATCAAGTGGAGTAGCCCTAATACTTTCCATTATCTTGAGCGTTTAAATTTCAGCGTAAGCATGGGCAGAGAGACGCGGAGTAAGAATGACTCGGAGCGGAGAGGCTTTGATATTGGTTAACCCAACACGTTCAAGCATATCGACTGGTCCTCCATCAAGAGTCGCAATGTCAAACCCTTGTAGCAGAGTAGCAAGTGTTAGTTGCATCGTTTGAAGAGCGAATGAGAGACCGGGACACATTCGTCTGCCTGCACCGAATGGAATCAATTCAAAATGTTGTCCCCTGACATCAATGTCCTTGTGTGTTGTGAGGAATCTCTCTGGGCGGAACTCCAACGGGTGCACATATAACAGGGGATCTCGTTGAATTTTTGAAATGTTAGTCAAGAGACGTGTGCCAGCGGGCACATGGTATCCACCAACGATGCAGTCTTCCATGGACTCGTGTGGCACACTGAGTGGTCCTGGTGGATACAAGCGCAATGTTTCCTTGAGAATGGCTTGGAGATACTCCAACTTCTGCAAGTCTGATTCCACAACCATCTTATCCTTTCCAATTTGTGTGTCTAATTCGTGTATAGCCTTGTTTAGAACTTCACGGTTGTTGAGAAGTAGTGAGAGAACCCAAGACAATGTACCTGAGGTAGTGTCTGTACCAGCTAAAATTAGTCCCTGCAAAATACAGTAAAAATATTTTATTTTATTTTTAAATTTTTATACTCCGGTACCAACCCCGTTGAGAGAAAATGAGAAAATTAATGATGGTGAAATTAAAAACAGAAGAGAACATGCTGTAAGTGGTTTATCTTCACCTTCACACAAGTGAGTTGTAATTATTATGAAGAGTCATGTGAAATTTGTTACTTTTAAGTAGCCATGAGATACAAATATTTGTGTAAGTTGCACATATTTTAAGCATATGACTTTGTATATATTAAAAAAAACTAAATTCGTATATAAGCTATGTTTAGTATTTATGACTTTGCTAAAAAAATATTCTTTCAAGTTACAAAGTGGTGAACCTCACCCTAAACTTTATACAAATCACACAACTTTGAAAATTAAATTTGTAAATATGCCAAGTTAATGATAAAAATAAATCAAATTTCACCGCAGAGGTAGAAAAAAACACAAAATTCCAAGGACAAACCAAATCGAGACACATGATATTAACCATTCGAGAAATAAAATTTTAGTACAACTAACTGATACATCGAAAATTCAGTACATCTGTTATTTATTTTGTAATACGTGAACAAAAAAGTATCACATTATCTGAAAAAAGAAAAAATTAAACGACAGTTGATCAGATGATGTGATATTTTTTTTTCACATATCACAAAATAAATGACAGATGCAATTGCACTAAATATTTATACAATTCGACGAGGAGGATTACATGTCTCTTATCCTATTTTTCTAAATTTGAAATTTGATACTTGGAGCAATATTTGAGAGCTTTTTTCCATGAGGAGAATCATAAGTGGGCTTTTTATTTGGGATGGGCAGCATATCATTACAACACAGCTGCATATTCTGCTATTGGGATGACTCTCTTCCAAGCCTTGTATGGTAAGGTTCCCACAATGATTCCATCTTATAACAAGGGCTCTGTTCGTGTAGAGGTTGTGGATTCCACCTTGAGCCATCGAGATGAATTACTAAGGCTTCTCAAAGAGACATTACATAGTGCTCAGAACCGGATGAAAATACAAACTGACAAGCATAGAAAGGATGTATCCTTTTCTGTTGGAGATTTAGTGTTAATTAAATTGCAACCATATCGCCAAATTACTTTAGCCAACCGGAAGTGTCAAAAGCTAGCCAAAAGGTATTTCGGCCCCTTTCCCATTACTAGAATCTTGAGTCCTGTTGCTTATCAAGTGGAGCTGCCTGAGGGCTGTCGAATTCACCCTTCTTTCCATGTCTCCGTACTCAAGCTATTTAGAGGTGATAGCGCTACTGTTGCTCTACCCCTGCCAGAGAGTAATCATGGCAATCATCCTGTTCAAGTTCCTATGACAGCTTTGATGTCTAGACAGGGTTCGGATATACATGGGGATCAAAGGCAATGGTTGATTCAATGGACAAACTCTCTCCCTGAGGATGCAACTTGGGAGGATGAGTGTGATATCAACTCGTTTTATCCTGGATTTGTGTTGCCTGTTATGAACCTTGAGGACAAGGTTCCATTTGAAGATGGGGGCAATGTTAGGAATAAGGAGCCCAAGGCAAGGAGAAGAGCTGGTGCCCCTTCGTGGGCCAAGGATTATGTGGCGTAATCGGCCCACTCAGCCCAAATTAGCATTATTTTTTCACTGTTATGGTTCTGTCATGTGTTTGCTTACTGTTGTTATTAGTGGATTGCTGTTGTAATGGATTGCTGTTGTGTTTGGTTGGGCCTTAGTATTAGCTGAGTAGTGTGATAAGTGTTGTTAGTAGGTGAGTCATGGAGCACGTGTGATGCTCTTGCTTCCTTTTAGAATCTGTTAGGAAACGTGGTTTATAGCCTGATAGCATGTAATTGTTGGTTATCTTGAATATACAGAACAGTTCCCTTTCGTTTCTCTGAATTTTCTCCTCCTTTATCTTGTTCCATTTCTGATTTGCCATTGTAGGATCCGCTATCCTATCACAATTTCTATTAAATGCATCCCAGTGAAAACTCTCTCCAATAACGCTATCGGATTTTTGTTCAAAAATAATATAGTATCGTAACTGTTGAGTTTAATATTCGGAACCATATCATACCTTAACTTGAATCATGTTAGTTTAAAAATTGATAAATTGATAAATAATATAATAATTAAGTAAATAATAAATTAATTAATTTACTTTTAAAGTAGAAAAATATTTGTTATTATTTAAAAATTGATAAATATATATTTTTTTTTTAAAAAAAAAAACAAAAACAAAATAGAGTGCGTGTTATTATTGAGTACCGATTGATTGTCCGTTAATGTGAAGTTGTGAGATGGTAATATCAGTCCATTACGCTTAAGCATATCCGTTGGAATGACGAGGTAGGAAACCTCGTCAACTGAATTAATTATAAAAATTTCTTTATTCTTTTTTAGAATTTTCTTCCTTTTTGTATTCAACATCTTGCAACTCAAAACGTGTTTTGAAATGAATGTTTGACAAATCATGCATCTACTTTGTAAATTATTTATTTACTTTCAATCAGGTATTCTTTGTTTGATTTTCAACGATTACAAATTTAACTAAAAAAGTTCTCACAATATAAATTGGAGCCAGCAGCATGCTAGATACGTTGGGACATTACAAGCAACAACTAAATTGTTGCTTGAACAAAAAAAGAAAATTGTTATGCTTGCAATGGATAGGTTAGAATATTATACACAGTATTTTAAGATATAAATCATCTTAACTGAAGACACAAAGATAGAAAAATAAGCAAAAATGATTCTAAAATAACAATGCTTGATGACAATTCATCCAATTGATTAGTCAAAGTTGAAAATGGTCTAAAGTGGAGCACTTTAGGCCGGAAAATTATAATTCAACATATATTAAGACTGTATGATGATACAATTTTAAAAATCTAATCATTGTTTTGTTGATGAAAATTTTAATTATGTTGATTTAGCTGACAACTTGAATCTCGAACCAATGTTCTAGCTATGACTGTTGTTAGGTATTTTCAGAATTACCTAGCCTGGAACTTTCATAAGTGAAATTTTTTCCATAACCTCCCACTCGGCCACACTCCAACCTATATATTGTGTGTATGTTAGGTTTCAACCTATCAGAGAAAGAAAAATGAAGAATGAACAAAGGACTTTATTCTTCAGATGATCTCTTTCTAAGAAGCACTCTACTTTATCACAGTTACTACAAACTACATAAAAATTCTAACGACTCCCTTATTTCACGCACAGTTACAACTAACTTTACTATTCACATTTAGCACGTGCCTAAACTCAAGCTACGAACTCCTTCAGCCTCACGCAGTGCTGCTTATCTCGCTTTGAAGCTCTTCGCATAACAATCCCCCCATATTCAAAAATGGCCTTGTCCCCAAGGTCCATGGCTGGGTAAAAGAGACGCAGATGTTCCTCTGATTCCCAAATAGTGTCCTCTGAAACTGCATGTGTCCACTGAACCAAATATTGGCGCAGGAACTTGCACATGTCTATTAGGTGGTGTTTGGTAGGTGGCTTTTGAGGGGAAAGATGAGTAAGTCAAAGTGGGGAAATAACAATGACGTGTTTGATACAGGTTTTTGAGAAATATAGCAGGGCATGACGTTTTCCCATCAAAAGCGAATTTCAGTGAAAAATGGAAAACTCTGCACTGTTGGAGAAGACCTTCTTGGAGGTGGTATGATGAGAAAGCTAGGGAAGTCATAAATTTGGTGCCAACTTAGTTACACAAATGCCCCTTTGAAATCACCTCTCTCCTCTAATACCCGTTCACTTGCAAGAACGATTCAGAATGAAGAAAACATTGCTGCGTTTTGCTCTTCTCTCCTAAACAGCTCCATGGGTCATGCATGTGGTTGTAGACAAAGCTACAGTGATTTTCTATTTCTTTGTGTTCGTGATTACTCCATGGTAGCATCCTTGAACTGATTGACGAGTGTAGCTGAAGCAAAGACGAGTCACCTGCCACAGGTTTTGGTCCTCATCTGTACCTCACAGTTCCGGTAAGTCATTTGCGTTACTTTCTCCTGTATGTCGGTGAAGTTGATGTTGTTGATTTGCTCATGGTCGTTT